CTTTTTTCTTGATAATGGCTCTTATTTTTTGTAATATTCCATTATGTCAATGATTAGATTGTCTATAATAATTTTTTTTAAGGCAAATTCAAATATATATCACATATGTAAAATTGAAATTCAAGATCTCTTATTTGTTAGTTAAAACCCTTTATCAATAAATTAAGATGAGTTGAGATAGATAATAATCTCAAGACAATGAGATTTTATGAGTGATGGGCCTCTTGCTGCTCCTTATGATGACCATCTTCCTCATAGTTTTCTTCTTTGGCATTGGGATCTGAATCCTTGACCTCTCTTAATGGAGAGTCAAGAGCAGGGCAAGCTGCCTAACGGTCAGCTATAACTTTTCAAAAACCTCCTCTCCTCCCTCTTTTCTCCTTTCTACAAGTCGCCGTGCCATTTTATTACAGAAGTGTATGTCTGCCCCAGCGATTGACCATTAAAAAGCATGATGATGAAATGTGAGCGTAAAAATGAAATAAATAAAAGCTTTTTTATTACCATGGCATGCATCCTTCATACTAGCTTAATTCTCTGCTTGTTTCTTCTTCCTAAAACTCCTTACATGTTTTGAAGCCAATTCATGTGTGATTGGTCACTTCATGCCAAAATTTTAGTTTTTTTTTTGGGATATTTATGTCAATTGAGATAAATTCACACACACATCAAATATATAAAATTAGAACTGAAAACTTTTTAGTTGGGAGCTTATTAAGACGAGCTATGTAAATTTCAGGAGTTTCAGAAGTTTTGAGGATATGAGAGTTAAGGAATAAAATTTTTGGCTGACTTTGAGCAAGTGCATCCTCCATTTGACCTGATTTGAACGGAAATAGCTGTTGATGATTCAGTTGATCTAATAAAAAAAAAAAAGAAGATCCAGTTGGTCTGATCCATCCAAATAAACTCTTTGGGCCACGATCAACTTTTGTTTTGTTTTTTTTTTGTTTTTTTTGTTTTTATGTATATTTTGACATAAAAATAAAATAGATTTCATATCTTAAATATAATTTATTGTTATTTTCATTGAATATCGAATAATTTAATTTATATGATAATGGTGGCGATTATCACTGAGGCATGATAGGGAGTGGTGAGATGATGATAGTGCGGGTGGTTGAAGGCGATGTTGATGATGGCAATAGCCGTTTGTGATGGTTATTTTTAAAAACACTTAAAATATTTCAAAGTTGTTTTGAACGATTTCAAAAATAACTTGATTTGTAAAGAAAATAAAATTGTAAAAAAATAGAAATAAGTTGATTTGTTAAAGAATAAAAATAGTTTAAAAAAATGTACAAACAAAGACAATGTTTAAAAAAAAACAAAATTGATCCTCAATAGCCTTTTAGTTTAAGAACAAATGGATGATTAAGTTATTTAACCATAACAATTCTTTATTTGGGTTGATATTTTAGCTTGAAGATTAAAGATCATTTTTTATATATTTTTATAAATGTATAATGTTAATCATCAAATGCAAGATTATAACTATTTCTAAGAAATAATTATATCAATGTATTAAAAAATTATCTTGATCGAGCATGAATCTTGAGGCAAAATCAAGTTGGAAACTTCCAAAATTAAAATTGGGACCATATGATCTCCAATTTCAGCAAACTTATATTCGAATTGAACGTCTCGGAAATACAAACCCAATGACACCAAATTCAACTCAAATCGAGCCCAAATGGGTATGAATCGAGGACCCGAAGCGCTGTTGGAAGGTTCAAATCACAATTTGGATTACCAAAAGGTTTCCAAACTTGACATGCTTATAGTCGAGTTGAGCGGCTCGACGATATGAATCCAATGAGCCCAAGATCGTAGAATTCCAACATCATTAAGACCTTCAAATGTCTAACGAACAGTCCACGATAAAGGGATTCAACATCGGATGTCCATTCAAACCACTTCCCATTTGCCCTTGATCCTCCTCCTATTTACGGGCCATGCCACTCTAGGAAATTTATAAATAAACCCCTCATCATTCGTGAAAAGGGAGCCCTAAGCCTAAGGAGAAAAGAGAGAGATCGGAGATCGCTCTTGCCTCCTTGCCTCGTCGACCACTACAGGAGCTTCGCCGGACCACCACCTGAGTCATTGAGCTCTGTCGGACCACCACATAAGGCCCCGAGCTTCTTCGGACCACCACCTGAGGCCTGGAGTTTTGCTGGACCACCACCTGAGACCTTAAGTTCCGCCGGACCACCACCTAAGGCCCGGAGTTCTACCGGACCAACACCTGAGGCTTGGACTTGCACCAGACCACCACCCAAGGCCCGCAGCTTCGCTGGGCCACCACCTGAGGCCTTGAGCTCCCCCAAACAACCATCTGAGGTCTTGAGCTCTATAAGACCACCACCTAAGGCCCGGAGTTCCGTTGAACCATCACTTGAGGCCCTGAGTTTTGCCAGACCACCACCTAAGACCCGGAGTTTTGCTGGACCACCACCAGAGTCCCAGACTTGCACCGGACCACCACCTGATGCCCAGAGTTCTATCGGACCACCACTTGATACCCAGAGTACAGCTAGAGTTCTGCCATAACACCACCTGAGGCCCGGACTTTTGTCATACCACCACCTGAGGCCTAGAGTTTCGTCGGACCATCACCTGACGTTCAGAGTTCTATCGGACCATCACTTGGTGTCGGGAGTATGCCCGGAGTTCTACCAGACCATCACTTGACACTCGGAATTCTGCTGGACCACCATTTGATGTTTGACTTCCGCCGGATCATTGCCCGATGCTGAACTTCTGCCAAATCAATGCCAGGCTACCAACTCACGCCCTAATTTTTAAGTTGCACCGGACTTATGCCAGTCCACCAAGTGACGTTGTACTTTCATCCCTATTTGTCACTAGATTTTAACCAAATGGTTGACATTTGTAATTTGATGGCCCTCACGGACGAGTGAGCCCATTGTAATCTATCTAAACATTATTGGAATCATTTAAGACTGGGTAAAGCCCCGTGATTTTTCCCATTTCCATAATTTTTCAAGTAAAAATATCTTGTGTTCTCTGTGTATGAACTGGATATCCGTACAATGAATCGCCGCATATATTCTAGCCTGCAATAATTATGAAATGTATTTATAAGTTTTTTTTTAAAGGGGTGATCTGATTGCCCTATTCATATTCAACTTACAAAAAATAATAGATGGTTTAATAGTGTAATTTTATATCTGTCAAAATCTAAATTTAACAATTAATGGGTTTTAACTAATGAATAGATGAGGTTTTAATTTATAGGTTTTAAATTGCTGAAATTTCTTAATTATATTTTATTCTATGTACAATACAATAAGTTTTAAAGTAGTTAATTCTTCTTGTTTGCCTTTCTGAAAGATGGGTACCTCTATTATTGAGTAAGCTTATATTTGAAATTAGTGTCGTGTTCCTACTTGGTTACATTACACGGAATTTGAGCCCTAGCAGACAATATAATGACAAATTTGAGCAATTGAGAATGATTTTTGCATCGATTGTGTTTGCTTACATTAGAGAAATAAAGTAATAAACATAGCTTTTAACAAATGAATATTTTCACAATTTCTTAAAAGTAAAATAGTTATAGCTGTGTAGTTCTTCCTTTAAACATCGAGTCTCCATTACTCTCACATTAATAACTTAACCAAAAAAATGTTTTCACATTCATGATTTGCATTAAATTGGGTTGAAGTTAAATTTTTCTAACAAAATTAAGAAGGGATGTAAGCTAGTCTTCTCTTGCATTCTGTGTACAAACAAAAAATGAAGACATTAGAGTTAAAAATCAAGTTTTTGTCAAGTGCAAATTCTTAAAATTAGTCTTTTAAACTATTATACGACCGAGGGTCCAAGGGGGTAGCGCCCCCTGGCGGGGATCGAATTTCGGTTGTAAGAGTATTTGAGAAGGGTGGAAAATTCTTCAAAAGACCCTTTAATCCTTTTTTTTTCCAGATCTTAGGAAGTACCTGGCCGGGTATATCTTTCATTGATAGATGGCCTAACCATCAGGTACTCACTCAGCATTTAAAAAAAATTTAAGTTTTAAATTTTTAATATGCAAGCATCTTAGCATAAACAACAAGCATCGTTGAAGGCATGTCAAACATTAAAAGGGGTTTTCATTACCACAAAACGGCAAATTTGGTTGTAAGAGTATTTGTGATTCATCGAACAAGAAATCAAAGAACAAAAATCAATATCAACATTGGAAATCAAACAAGAAATTGAAGAGAACGAAAATCAAACCGGATAAACTTCAAGATCGGCAAATTATTTACCTCTTTCAGCAATGTACAAATAGTCGGCATGGTTGATCGGTCAGAAATGGCGAGAACTTAGAACCCTAGAAATCAAAAGAGGAAAGAAGACAATTTTATTGAACCGTAAACAATGGGTACTCCACATTCAAAAGATTGCGTATGATTAAAAGCATTTTACCTAATGCCGGGGTCGCGATTGGCGATGCAGCGGCAGTGATCAACGAGATTTAGCGAAGGAAAACGAAGAAAACACGCAGTAGCAATGGAAAACGAAGAGGGCATAGTGCATTCGGTTTGGCGAATGAAGTAAGCGAACAATTGATATGAGAAAGACGAAAGAAATCTGGCACGATAACTTATCCCGCCATGTTTCGGGCCAAATCCAAATTAGCGCGAAAATAGAATATGCCCTAATAACTCTTTCTTAAGACACTTAAATAAAATTGTCTCAATATATATGTCTTTAAAAGCTAAATTTTTTGTAGTGTAAATACCAAGATTAATGCTAGATTTCAATTTAAGAACTAGTTGGTTCGTTTGAGAGGTTTTTGGGATGTCCTCTTTTCGGTTTTTGCTTTGCCTAATAGAAGCAGTCCTATTAATGCTTTATACTGTATTTATAAGTAACTATTTAACTATAAATAGTCAAAAGGTCTTTGGTTGTTATATGTTCTTCCACGCAACCAATTACACTTTGATCACCTCCTTTCAGTAGCAGCAGTAGTGGGGAGGCACGCATTGACATCGCCATATCAACATTTCTCGGTTGGCAGGTTGGCACTTTCTCATGGTACAATGATGATTACAACAATTCTAGGTGGACAGTGCCCTAAACCCCTTGATTTGCTTTGAGATTGGTGGAGTTTATAATTGAGGAGAACTCATCGCTTTGGTACATAACTTTGTATAATTGCAATGCATTCAATATTTATTTTGTGTATCTCTCTCTATAAAGGTAGTAACTAGTAAGCAAAGCACTGCTGTGCCTTCTCGATTGATCGGACGGTCATAAGCGTCCGATGACACGCCGAATCCCCACCGTCGATGAGATGAGATGAGATGAGATGCGATACGATGCGATTCTTCTCTTGCACCCATGTCAGTTATGTACTGTATATTGATGACAATTACAATCACCCTCCTGGCCAAACCAGTGAGAATTAACTACAACACGCGGAGCACAATAACTCTGACTTAAGTGAGCATACCGCATTGCCTTCCCTGTCCCTCCGAGTACCTAAGCCAACAACGGGAGAAGGAGAGCAGAGAGGCCTTTTTCCTGTAACGTACTAACCGAACCTCCCATCTCCAGTCTCTCGCTCTTTCTCTCCTCTGCACCACTCCAATGATGTCAGTTCCGTCGGCGGCGGCGGTGGCAGCGCTGCTTCTGCCGCTGCTGATGGCGGTGGCGGATCCCTCCGACGAGTCATGCCTTCTGAACCTCCGGAACTCCCTAGAAGATCCGGCGAATAGCCTTCGGAAATGGACCAAATCGACCTTAGCTTCTCCTTGCAACGGCTTCACCTCCTACCTCGTGGGTGTGACCTGCAACAATGGCAGAATCTACAAGCTCTCCCTCCCCGCCCGATCCCTCGGAGGCTCCATCTCTCCCTTCCTTTCTAACTGTACCAACCTCCAAACCCTAGACCTCTCCTCCAACTCGCTGACTGGTCCCATCCCCGCTGAGCTTTCCTCCCTCCTCAACCTCGCCATTCTCAACCTCAGCTCCAACCATCTCTCCGGCCAAATCCCCCCGCAGCTCTCCTTCTGTGCTTACCTCAACGTCATCGACCTCCATTCTAACGAGCTCTCTGGCCCGATTCCCGACCAATTCGGCCTCCTCGTTCGCCTCTCGGTTTTCGACGTCTCCTACAACCGCCTCGAGGGTCCCATCCCTGTGCTGCTTTCGAATCGGACGGGATTGCCTCGGTTCAATGCCAGCTCGTTTGTTGGGAACAAGGAGTTGTACGGCTATCCGTTGCCTCCGATGAAAGGAAGGGGGTTGTCGGTTCTCGCTATCGTTGGAATTGGGCTAGGAAGCGGCATGATCAGCCTTGTGCTTAGTTTCACCGCCGTCTGCATATGGCTTAAGATTACGGAACAGAATAGCGCCACCGCCGGCGGAGTGATGAATGATGACGACGGCAAGATCTCTCACGCCATGCCCGACTACTGAATGATTTGAGCATTTACTGACCATTAAGAAGAGGTGAATGCGGGTTTCTCCATCAAAATCAAATCTTGTGATTGGAGGTTCCTTTCTTCCCTCTTTTTTTTTTTTTTCCTTCTGATTTTCTTTGTTTCTTTTTTTCTCTTTTGGATTCTGTTTTCGTGTTTGCGCGCTTCCTCTTTTAATTTTCTCGTCTAGGGATTTGTCCCATTAACCATTTGTACGTATTGTATATTTTTTTTTAACATTAAGCTTTAAATTAGATAATGTATACCAATGTTCTTAAAATTTCTTGGATTCCGCCCGAGTGGATGATATTTTTCGAAGGAGAGAGAGAGAGAGAGAGATGGAACTTCTTAATGATTTTGTTGGCTGCGGCGGTGGATCTGATCATTAATTAAACTATTTGTTTAAGCTTAGCTTTAAGCTTCAAAATCCATGTTGTGATTATTGCGAGCAAAGTATTGAATGGCTTGCAGTTATTGTTTGGTTGGTGTAATTAATTGAGGAGTAAGTACGCTACACTAGGACACTACTACCCCACTTTTGCTTACTAATGAAATTATATATTAAGATCAAGATTAACGCAGCAGCTCATTTAGATCTATTTGTTGAGAATTTTTTAAATATCTTCAAAAGAAAAAGAAAAAGAAAATTAAGCTTTGATTGTACAGATTTGTAAAGTTTAATTCTTTGTGGCTCATGGTCCGTTATATATGATTAACCATTAATAATGCAACAAATGTGTACACGTTGGAGAATAGTTGTGTGATGGGGAGAGGTGAAGATGAGGATGATAGTAGCCAGTGGAAGTGTGGAGGGAAAGATGGAGGAAGACGGGAGAGAGTCTGACACCTATGTGCTTGCAAAGGACATTAATGGAGGAAGCAGCACGAGTCCAGTCGTGGATGATGATGCTGATGCTGATGCTGATGATGTCTTGGCCATTATCCCAAAGAGGAGCTCTTATTATTGGGCCTCACAGAAGAGGTAGAGAGAGAAAAAGTGTTAGTGTGTGGTGTGGGCCCTGAACAGCGTGCAGGCTTGTGGGTCCTTCCCATTACTCGAATTGGAGGGCCTGATATCGCAGCCTGCTCCAGCTGTGTGGTGATCTTTGTGTGCCGTGTGAGGCTCTCTCCAGGCGTTGCACAGCCAGTGGCATATGAGGAGGTTTAGTGCTTCTGCACCCAACCATCATAATACCGAAAGCAATTTTGTTCAATCAGCCTATTTAATTTACCATCATAATATTGGAAGCCATTTTTGTTCAATCAACTATTTAATTTAATTTAATTTAATTTTGATCGATCATTCTGTTTTTTGGTCATATGCTATCAAGGGACAAATCATTTAATCTGTTTTTTGCTCTGCATTTGGTACTGCACGTATAGTCAACATCTAATAAGTTCTTCTAAATGAGAGAGATTAAAATTTTTTATGTTTGCAAACAATTTTTGTTTGGTATAATTTTTTTTCTAAAGCTTTGTGTAATATTTATTATAGAAGTTTTTATTTTTTATTTTCATAAATTATCTTATTTGATTTGTTAATCATTCATATTCAGCTTATTGGATAAATGGCGTGATTTTAAACAATGCTTTTCCTCTTATTTATTAAAATATATATTCTTGATATATCATAAAAAAATATTTTGATCAGGCACGAATCTTAACCAAAATTAAGTTGAAAGCTTCCAAAATTAAATCGGGGATAATCCAAACTTTAATTTCAACAAATTTATAGTCAAATTGAACGTCTCGGAAAGATGAACTCATCTACATCAAAACCAGCCAGATATGAGCCCAAAATCAATGGTCCAAAGTAGATTTGAATTGGTCAAAGCTCAGTTTGGAATATCAGACAAACTCTAAAGATGACATGCTTATAGTCAAATCGAGTAGCTCGACGAGACGAATCCAACGAGCATAGGAGCATTGAATTTCGATATCATTAAGGCATTCAAATGGCCAATAAATGGTCTATGATCAAAGTGATCAATATCGTCTGTCCATTCAAACAACTCCCATCTTGATCTTGATCCTTCACATATTTACAAGTCATACCACTCTTAACAAACTATATTCTTCTCATGAAGGGGAGGGGAGAAAGGAGGAGAAGAAGGGAAGAATTGTCCAGGCCCTATGGTTTTTCTACTTTTTAGGGGTTTCCACGTAAAAAAAATTCCAATGTTTCTCCCTTAATTAACTGTTGGTGTGCTAAATATACGTACATTACCTCACTCTACCGTCATGAATATTCTAGTCCGTAACCATTCTAATAAAAAGTAGTCCATGAAAAAACAGTATGATATCTCTGCGAGTGTATGGATGTATGTAAAAATATACGGAGAGAGAGGCTGATGCAATCAACTGTTAATATATAAAAAGCCAAAGGTGTGGTGGGTGAAAGTCGCCGGGGGCTGAGAGTCGGCGGATCAAGACATGTCTGCACTATTCACAAGAGTGTTATTCCTATTAATACTAATTTTAATTGAATATATATTTTATTACCTCACATCTCTTATGATTTTATTGGTTTCTTTTTCGATTATGAAAGGTTTTGACTTTATCAAAGAAAAAGGCGCTAAGTAGTGTTGGATCAAGCTTGTTTGTCGTCGCCCGTGCTCTTCACTTTTTTTGTGCCACTTTCTCATCTCATTTGCCACATAAAATCTAATCAATTATTGAAGTTATATAGTTACTATTGTGCGGCATAAGATTGGATGTAGTGAGGGGCGTAACCCGCCTTGATTCTTAGAGGAGGTAAATTTATAAATAACACTTTTACATCATCTATTTTAATTCTGCTAGAGGGCAACGACTTAAAGATAATAATATTTTAATTTTTTTAGGTGGCGCAATTACCTAAAAACTCTTATAACAAAGAGTAAAAAAAGATGGAGGTGTCAAATTTCCTAAATATTCATGTAATAAATAATTTTTTTATTCTTTTAGGGGGGCAATTGCCCCCCTTGGGGGCTAAGTGGTTCTGCCCCTGGATGTAGCTAGGGTAAGAGATAAATTAACCTACATGCAATGTAAATTAAATATATACGACTATTGATCACAAGAACATAATGAAGGGGGAATGAATGATTCAAGTTATAGTTATGTTAGCCAATATATGTGTTTCGCCCCGCCCTGAGGAAGCAGAGAAGAACAATAAGCTACAAATGTATTTAGCAAGTGGTGGATTAAGGCGAAAGATGGCATAGCAAGGATGACTAAATATTGGCCATTTGAAATCGTTCTTAATTTGTTAGAGGGGGATTTGCTTCTTCTTATGAATTTATTCTCAACAGGACGATGAAGCCTCACACTATCAAGTAGTTCTTTATTTGAAAGAGTAATACTTATAATTAATCTCAGTCCTATAATTAATAGATATTGAACTCTAATGTTCAAATTTTCCTGATCAACTTTGGATGCACCTCATGAATGTCTTCGAGAAACCTTCTAGGGGGCAACCTTGGCTCAAGCAACTCTTGCTTCTTATCGGGAAAGATCTCAACTTGACCATCGTGCGATTCATCTCAAAAATACCTTGACAATCCTAACTTGGCAACTCACGTTTTGATAGTTGTCGTTGACATCATTAATGAGATAAATAAGGTGAAAATTTGGTAGCTACAAAATAAGATGAAAATTTTGTAGCAAAAAAATGGGTGGCGGTTTGTGTTTGCAAGAGATAGGTAGAAGAAGGATGAGTAGGTGGATGTCTAGGTGGTGGATTGGAAGTGTTGAGTTGGTAGAGGAGTGAATGAGGATGAGTGAGATGTGGGGATTTTGGGTGATGGGAATCAGATGAGAGCTGCTACTACAGATGATTGGGTTTGGTTGTAGCAGGATTGGGAGGCTGGGAGGATTCGACTTGAGGTAGCTCGGCAAAGAGTGATGTGAAGGATGGAGTTTGGCTGCTTGGTTGAGTGTTTGAATCGGATCAGAGCAGGAGGAGGAAGACAGGTAGATCAGAGTCGGATCAATTGTGACTTGCAGCTCTTGAGTCGACCGGTAGAGGGAAGGAAATCAGACTAGGTTCGGCAGTCTTGGGCAGTTAGTCAGGTGTGGGCATGATGAAGAGCAAGTTTATGGTGTTCGTTTTGCAGTTGCATGAGCTAGGGATTAGGGTTAGTGCAATGATTGGTTGATGGAAGGGATTCGACCGCAAGTGTAGGAAGGGGGAGGAAATATAGTCGAGAGCTCAACTAGGGTCGGCTGCAGATAGAGGGGAAGGAGTTGGCTTTGGCACAGCTAGTCGAGAGGGTGTGGTGCTGAAGCGAGATCAAAGTGTCGATTCGATTAGGTGGAGCAAGTCTTCCGGCAGATCAGGCGAAACTGAAGGATATGATGAGGTCTTCATCTGCTATGCGGTAGAGGCAAAGTTGGCTTCGTGTGCGAGTACTTCGACCTCATTATAAGAACAATTGAGGGATTGGAAGTTCGGGAGCTTGAGCGTGAGGAAGCAAGGAAGCAGAAAATGAATGAAGCGAGGCTTCGTTCTCATTTTAACAATGAAGGCAGGGCACAATAAAGGTATATTTTTGTATGTGATGATGAGCTACTATAATGCGTTCAGAAATGGCACCTAACTGCAGGGTATAGAGCAATTGTAGCAGGCATCGTAATATGGTTTAAGCAGGATTTGAGAAGGATTTTGGGAGGACTTGACAGAGGTGTTTTTTTTTTTAATTAAAAAAAGTGGAGGGCAACAAATGCTCCCTAAAAAATGTGATACGCATGTAGAGCGAATCATGTTTGTTGTAATATGGTTGATTATAGATCTCCAAATATTTATTTTGGATGTCACACTATGGGTTTCATTTTGCAAATTTTTGGGAGCCCGTGTCTTGATCATGTTAGTTCTCTATCTTCATAAAATTTCACAGATATATCCATGGATACATTGACATGTTGGCTTTAGTCATGTATAGACCCATAGGATAGTGACACAATACTTCATACTTAGATCCCTAAAGCATTACTTCCTATAATACTAAAACTGGTAGATAGCACTGCCACTTTTTGTTCTTCTTTTCCCACCACTATCACCATAGTTTCTAGCATTTTTGCATATATTCAATATTTATCATTGTTGCAATCATATATGTATATAACATTTATACTATATAATTAGACGTGTCATTTTAAGTTTTCTCGACCTTTGTAGATTCATCAGCTAACATGACTTTCAGTTTGTTTTACCATTGACTTCAACTCAGGTATGCCTTTTTCCTTTTTGTTTTTTTTTATTTTAGCTTTCGCTTTACATTTACACTGTCCATTTTCTGTATTGATGTCTCACTACTTTGCGTCGACCCCCATAGGAACAATACAAGTCAATTAGCTGTTACAGGAGGCTTTCACTCAACTATACTTTTGCTTTGTTAATATGTGTAGCTTTTCTTCTTTCTTTTATTATTTTATTGGTACCCTTGTTGTTCTACATAGATTTCAGGAGAAGCAGGTTACTAGTCAAGTAGCTGCTATAAAAGGCTTTTACTCAAGTATGCACCCCTTTCTCATAGCTTATGCAATTTTGTTGTTGTTGTTGTTGTCTTATCTGTAACCTCGTCGCTCTATGCATGTTTCAGGAAAAACGAGGTACCAATCAGCTAGTTACTGCAGGAGACCTCAGTTCAGATACACCTTACTTTGTAGCTTTATGTACATTTTTTAAAATTGTTCTCTTTTCTTTTTGTTAATGCTTCTATTGCATTGTGCATGTCCCAGAAGTGTGGAATGTTTGATCTTTGAAAGGAGCAAAGAAAAGCTGTCGACTTTTGTCTTTAGACATAAATTTAGGAGATAAACTTCAATCCTCTGCGCAGGAAAATGTACCATTTTTATCCATTTTTTATTGTGTAAGCTTGTGAAAAAATGTAATTTATATTTGTATAAAATTTTTGAATTAATAAAATAAAGCATTGTTAACTTTTAGATCTTCACGAGCTCTTCTTTTCTTTTTTTCTCTATGACTTCTGTGATTTTTTTGCTCACGGCTTCAAAAATTCGTTAAAGCTAGCAGTTACACTCTTTTCACAGCTTTTGCTTGAGTTATGAGGTTTAGTTCTTTTGTCAAATGCTTTGTGTAGCAGACATTGGCAAAGGATTACCTGATTTATCATTATAGACTTGTCAGGAGATTTGCGTACCTTCAGCTCTTTGCTTCTTGTTTTGACGGGCTTAATGAAAGAGTATATGCCAGTGACATAAACCCTTTAGGTTTACATTTGGTCGGTGGCGCGAGGTCATCGGTATGAAACTTTATGCATAATAGACTTGTTGATGACAAAATCCTTTTCGTTCATCCATAAGCTTAATGTGAACTTTAGGATAATTTATTCGGTCATTTGATTTGTGCTTTGTAGGACTTGTTGAAGAAGAATTCATTTGATCTTTGCTTTGTGTTTTACGAATTTGTTAAAGGATTTGCAAGTTTTTGGTTTAATTAGTAGTACTAAATATATGTAATATATTGACCCTTAATCAATTAAGAAGATTTTAATCTAAGTTAATTGAACTTATAGAATTATGTGAGCTGGGATTTAACAGATCTCGTCATCCGACTATTGAAACGGGGGTTCCTTTATTACGGTCTTTCTTATGGCTTGTTGAGTAGACGAAGCTACTAGTGACTCGATCACATCTTGGCTTATTGAGTTCGACTCATACGCCCGTTTAGGCTTTAGACTTTAGCTATGAAGAAATACGCTCCCTAAGCTAAATTTGTTGAAGTTTGCATATTTGAAATCATCCTTCGTGGCTCAAGTTCTTAGAGCTTACATGGATTCGGTAGTTATTTTGATTGAGACTCATTCTTCACATTAAAACCTCAACTCTCCCATTAATTAGGAGAATTTTCTAGACTACGGCTACTTGAATTTGTTGAGTCCAATAAGCCACAGGCTGACAAAATGGGGGTTTCTTTATTATGACCTTTCTTATGACTTATTGAGTAGACAAAACTGCCATCAATTCGGTTATATTTGAGCTTGTTAAATCTAACCCCATACAACCACTCAAACCTTAACTTTATGCTACAAAAGAACTTGTGACGCTATAACTCGACTTATTGGAGTGTGTAGCCACCAAAATCATTTTTTCTTGACTTTTAAAGTTTTGGTATGTTAAAGAATGTGATATCTTGAGTTTCGAAGTATCATCTGTATACACACATATTGCAAGAAATAAATTTGCCACATCTCCTTGTTTGCGGAGATGTTCGTATTTGATGATTTTAAATATTTATTTGGAGATATCGGCGTGAAGCATAATATCGACCAAATAATATATTTGATGATTTTAAATATTTATTTGAGGATCTCAATGCGAAGCGCGATGTCAACCCAAATAATATCTTTGATGGTTATAAAAATTTATCTGGGGATCTCTGCGTGAATCACGATGTCAACCCAAATAAATTTTTAAAATGTCCCCTATCTTGCGAGGGAGGGTTAAACAAAATTTGTGTTTTATAAATTTAAATATTTATTTGGGGATCTCAGCACGTGACCTAATGTCGACCAAATAAATATTTAAAATGGCCTTTATCTTGTGGGTGAATTTAGACAAGTTTTAAAAAATTTCCGTCTTGTAGGGGGTTTTCACTAAATGTTTGAAATACTTTCTTGCACTACAAGAGAATTTTAAGACATATAGTGTACATGTCGATAAGTATACATGAAGTATATAGTGTATTAAATATAGAATTTTCTTGGGTGAACTTCATACATGGTATTTCTTCAAATACTGATCGTTGATCAGCAGCATTGGTCTTTGACCTTGCAGATCGATAAGCTGATAAGCTCCTCCCTGATACACGTTCTCGATGGCGAATGGGCCTTCTTAGTTATATACGAATTTGTCACCAACTTTTTGATGTGGGATGATTGGCCTTCTAGGTACCAGGACCAACTCCCTTTCTTGAAATGCTCGGTGGCACGCCGTTTAATCAAATAATTTTTCCATTTTTGCTCGATAGATCTCTAGATTTTGATGAGCCTACAATATGATTTCATCTAGTTCATCGAGCTCTTTCATTCTAAGTCGAGTATTTTGCTCTTCAGGGAGATCATTCTGAACACCTACTCAAAGTGATAGTAGCTAGATCTCTATTGGAAGCACTGCTTCAGCCCCGAACACCAGTGCCTATGGAGTGACTTTAGTCGGCATCTTATGAGTTATACGGTATGCCCACAATACTTATATCATCTTAGTATGTCATTATATTTTATTCTTGGTAAGGATATTTTTAAGTAGCTTTACCAATATTTTGTTGAAGGCCTCCGCCAAGCTATTTGTTCTTGAGTTGTATATAGAAGAGTATCACACCAATCAATTTTGTGTCGATTGATGAACTTGTGAATTTTAGTGCTTTTGAATGTTATGTCATTTTTTGATATTATACACCGTGGTACACCAAATTTATAAATAACATTGTGAGTGATGAAGTTGATCACATGCTTGGATGTGACTTATTTAAATGGAGCCGCTTCTACTCAATTAAAGAAGTAGTTGGTTTCTATTGAAGCGGTGTCTAGTTAATGATGAAGGATCTATTAGCCCGATTATTTTGGTGCCCCAGCATTTAAACGTCCAGGATGCCACTATAGTGTAACGGATTTTGTAGTTGATATATAGCATCATCGTGATGTTTCATATTGAAAAGTTCAAAAAAGAAGGTTTTGAAAAGTTTAGTTTTCTTTGAGAATTTTTATTTAGAATTTCAGCCTCAAACTTGACCACATCGTTATGAATGATATATTATCACGGGAGACAAATATATCTTTTCTTAATGGGTTTAGACAATAAAGCTGAAAATTTCACCCATATTGTAATAATCAAATCCATGTAAAAACTACATATGACCCCAAAGAGTCAAAATGAGGTTCTACCTATAGTTAATTATTATAACTTGGATGAAATGTCATTATTTTCATATATGAAATCACTATGATAAATGATATATCTCCTCGAGAGAAGAAGATATCACCTATTGTCGATCATCCGAACATGAAGATAATAATCATCGTTTATTTTGATATTTCCCAAATAAAACTAATTTAGTTTTGAAATTTTTTTTTTTTTAAAGATAGATGTGGGTTCTAAATTTCCTACGAGGGCAAGCTCTCGTAGTTAATTACATCGTATGGAGGTTAAATTCTCAACGAATACTCTCGATTAGAATAACGACGAAAATTTTATTTTAGAGATTTTCTAGGAGTGATAGCTGCCGTCTCACCAACTATGAAGCAGCACGACCTTCCGTCTGCACCAGTTGTCATGCCCGACCTAACCTAGCTCGTTGTCAGCCTGACTCCCGTCGTCCCTATGCTCTCGATCCCAGTCGCTAAGTCCAACATCTTCTTCTTCATAAAAAATAGAGAGGGAGAGCAAGAGGTATTCATCAATTTTGAAGACATGCAATGTCGACCTTAGGTTCGGCCATGAATGCACAAATTGAAGCCCACGCACCATTGAACTTTGATCCTAGCTGGAAGATCTTTTAAATTGAAGGCCCTACGCAGTTGTATCTTAGATGTTGGCAGGATATTTACTTATACGATATATTAATGTTGTTGTAGGAAATATTACACGCTAAGAAATTTGGGCTTCAAATCCAATTAAAATTTAATTTAAAAAAAAAAATAAACACTCAAGTAGGCTTTCAATTGAGGGAGATCTAAGCATTTGTGAATTGTTAAATTGTTAAGATTTTTGGAGGAAGAGTCACATAATGAAAGAATAATTTGATAGAAGGAAAATATTTAAGTATTAATGCCAACTAGAATTTCCATTTAGGAAGAAATAAAAGCTATGTATGATCCAGGGGCATATGATTTATGCTCAACATTTTTTGCATTTTAAGAATTTTGGGTCTTTGATTCCCGAAGACATGGGTAGTGTAGTTCACCCAAAAGTGAATGAGTTTGGCACTATATGTTATGTCCAATTAAAGAATCTCGATCTATTGCCAATAAATTTTTTGAAGAAATGCTCAAAGGGTCATCATGTAACTGCATAATTATTGATATAAGGGTAAATCACATATTGCTTGAAATCATGCTAATAGAATTATCGGCACCATACACATTGAACAAAGGAGCATTTTTGTCATATCTTGTTGCATATATGGAGATCAAGTTAAAATTTGATTCATGTATTTTGAACTTAACATAAAATTTTGAAATAGACATAATTTCTTTCCAATAATAAATTCCACAATCACTAAATCCCTAGCTCTACAACCGTACATGAATCAGGGAAGCTTCAACTAGATTTTCATCATCTTATTGCATATAAGAGCTTTTAGACAAAAAGATAATTTTAAACTATGCTACTATAATACATCATTACTTCTTTGAAAGGAAAATCATGGATAAATAAATGATGTTTACTTGGGGTTATGCCGACATAGAGAGCAAATGAATGTCACTGTATTCGCAACACTTATTCAAGCGGACATAAGACAATATTCTTACAATAATTCTGGTTTATATAACAAAATATATCCCGCATGTTCTTCTACTTTCATATTTGATTCTCAAATCCAACAGTTCATAAACGTTGCACGGGTCAAATATTCCAAGTTTCATCCCCCTCCTTGAAAGGACTGAAGTTGATCTGACATAAATTAACAAACGAACATCTAATCATCAAACATAAAGGCTATATAAATTAAATTCATCATAAACATAAATTTTTTATTTTAACATTCGTATAATCATCAATTGTTAAACCTAATTCTTTGTTAGTGGATGAGCAAAGTTGACAAGGTTCAAACAACCAATCATTTA